TCCCCACCCACAGCTCCCTGCCCCCTCAGCCCTGCCGGAGGGGGCCCCAGCTGCCAGGGACATGGGGCCAGGGACCCAGCTCCATAGCCCTTGGCAGGAAGCGACAGCTACTGCACGGGAGCAGAGCCTGGCTCTGCCCCGCCCCACGCCCCCCGGCACTGACTGCCGGGGAGGGAGTGGCTCTCTGCTGCTGCGTGCACTTCCACGGGGGTAGGGGAGATGTGTGCCCCTTCGGTTTGTGCACAGGGCAGGGGTGGATGTGGGCTGCCCACTGCGAGTTTGGGCTCCCCACCCTGCTGCCCTCTCTTGGGGCCTCCACAGCCCAGCAGGTGTGACCCAGTGCTGCAGGGATTTCCTTGCCACTGCAAGCTCTGCGCTGTCCTGTTGATGCATCTCCTGTGCACGTGGCAGCAGCAAGGGTGGCAGCGTGGGGTTACCTACAGGAGCTGCTCTCCAGGCTGCCTGAACTCTGCATTTTCCTCTGGTAAAGGGGAAAATCTGTGTTCTTCTGTTTTTCCATGAGAAACAGAAAACTCGGATCCCTGGTAATAATACAGTAAACGACCCAAAATTTATTCCACATATAATGTGTAACAACTCTGTGGCTCATTTGTATCACGTGTTAAATTGGACATATGGCCAGTTGGCGCTGATCATAGAAGATCCCAACACCCAGCTGAGTGTCAGGATCTAGCATGGGGCAGCCCCGGGGTCTGGGACACAGTCTGTGACTGGCAGCACACAGGGTTTCACAAGTCCTGGTACATGGGGACCTTGGGATCAGACTGCAGCAGCCCAGTCCCAGGGACCTGTGCCAGAGGATGACTAAAACCCCCTTGCACTGCCCAACTGGACAGCACATATGATTTTTACTCATCTTTGGGTACAGGGATCCCAGAGTCCTCATGCCCCAGGACCTATGAAAACCCCATGTGCCCCCCAGCTAGGGTTTTGATAATCAGCTGACTGTCAGCTGGTATCAGGGCTGGGACCTATTTCGGATCTCCAGCCCCAACAGACAATCAGCAGATCCCAGGCTCCCCCTGCATTGCAAGTAAAGCATGATTGGGATCTAAACCCTGATCCCAAAACTGCACATCCTGCCGTGCACATGAGGCATGGCAGGAGGCATGATTGTTGGGACTGAAGATTAGATTCCGTCCCAACTTAAAATGAATGCCTCTCATGGGCCTAAGTGGAGGTCATTGACCAAGGCCACAAATTCAGTCTCTGCGCCAAACCCAGAGTGTAAATACCCAGAGTGAAAGCAAGAGTGACAAGCATCTAGGATAAGTTGTGAACAAACAACTAATGTAACCTTCTTTCAAAGTAATTCTGGATTACCTTTGCTGGACTGGACAAATTTACCTCGATACAGGAGTTACACCCTCTGTCCACTACTTTTTTATGCCAATGCACTAATGTAAATGTATTATCTGTCCAGAACCTTACCCTGGTAAAGTTCATTAGTAAAGCTTAAAACTGTAATAATAAAAGCAGGGAACCAAAGATAATACTATTACAATTGTCATTATTATGAGGGGAGTTAAATATACAGAGGACCAATTCTGGCAGTCTACTTTAATTTGTGCTCACATTTTGGCTGACCTGAGAATATTTTCTCCAGGAAATAGGCTAAATAAAAGGGACATACATCATGGATGCTTCTTTACAGGTCAGGATATATAAGGCTTTCAGTATGTAGATTCCAGATTTTGGGAGGATTTAGGAAAAAGAAACATAATTTGAGTCTCAATACTTCCTTCATTCCACTTCTATTTGAGCTTTAAAGCTGGTTGCATCTTTTTAGCTCTACACGTAATGGACAATTTTAAAAAGCAGTGCACAGCCCCAGTAGCATAACAAGAGGGGCAAGAGGGGCACCAAGTCAAGGCACCAACTTAGAGGAGATGCCAGAATGGTGCCCCCCTTCCCTGGAGTCTTTATTGCATCAGCCAGGTGGTTCCCAGCTGTAAGAGCTTGGTGTTCGGACACAGCAGAAACAGCCACGCACCACGAGACACAGGAGCCAGGTGTGGGTGACAGAAGGAGCAGCAGAGGTCTTTGTGTCATTGGGGCAATTAAGATCCTCCTTCTCCTTCCCTTCCCCTTGCTCTCTGGTACTTCACCTCTTTCCCCCCTTTGCACCAAGAAGTTTTGCTCAGGGGCACCAAACTTGATAATTAATGGCTCTGCACAGGCCAAGTACCAGGTGCTGTGCTGTGGTCTGAAGTTGCAGAACTACACAGTGGGTATAATAGTTCTGTACCCCTTCCCTGCCCTCCTGCCAGTAAGAGAGTCTCCTGTCATCTTCTCCACAACAACTATTACCCAGAGAAGCCTCAGGTTCAGGCCTCTTGCAAGACCTCCACCCATTGCCACAGAAGGGAATTTAAGCTCTGTATGATGAAAGGGGTTATCACATCTTCTGCATCCATGTCCCTAACAACTGGTTCTGCCATCCTCCTGACACAAGACTGTAATAGATTTGCTGCACAGATATATGCATAAGACATGATATACTAGGTCAGAGCAATCGTCTGTCTAGCCTAGTATCCTGTCTCTGACAGTGACAGGAGCGGACACTCTAGAGGAAAAGAAGATGAACAGGGTATGTCTAGAGTCCCCTGTTGTACCCTCCCTGGCATCCAATGGTTTAGAAATGCAAAGAAGTTACTTTACCTTTGGAACAGGGAGCAGGACATAGGCAAAGCATATAAATGCAGTCCTTAGAAACATGTTCATTCTTATAAAAAATTACAAATACTGCTTTTCATTTAAGGTTTACTATTGTGCAATAGAACTGGTTGTACACATTTTCATTTTAGCTGGCTATTAATATCACATTTGTAAAAAACAGAGTTTGTTATACTTGGCCTCAACAAGATCTGATAGTTATTTCTCATCTACCTTGGTTGACTCCCATGGTTAGAAAAAAATATCTAAAATATTTTCCAGCTTTGCCAATATTCTTGGGTGTCTGAAATTGTTTTAACAAAAAAATGTTTCCATGTGTGGGTTCATTCTTTTTAAGGATCATGTGATATACCTTGTGGTTAATTAGTGCTATGAAATGCTTACATTATAATTTAAAGAAAATTCTTTTCAGATCTTTTCCCCATATATATTTCTTTGCAGCTCATTATATTCAAGGCAATCTTACTGAAGTCAGTGGAACAGGATTTAATCCAAATAAAGTTCGGAAGTGGCTTAAAATACATTTTAGTGAAATTACTTAAAGTTTTATATAAATATTCCAACAGTTTCAGGCAGGACTCTCATTCCATTGTTGTGTAATTATACGAATGCATGAGGCCTGTTCTAAACAGCTTGCAAACTCAAAAAAAATTAAATGCGCAGTCACAAACAAATAAGCCCTTTAATTATATTCTGTTTAAATATTCTGCAAACACCCATACTTGTTACTTTGTCCAGGTGCATCCTCAAATGAACCCCCCTACTGCTGATACAATGTTCTTTACAGAAATATTTGTTTTTAACCTTCCCTATCAGGGAGGGGGTTGGACTAGATCAGTGGTTCTCAACATTTTTTGTACCAGGACCCATTTGTAAATATTGATGGCCAGTCTTGACCCAGCGCCCCTCACTCCTGATCTGCCCCTCCAGGCCCCAGCTCCACAAGTGTGTGGGCCAGTGGGTGGGTGTGTGGGGCAGAGGTGCTGCAAGCAGCCCCTTGCTGAAACTCTGCCAGCCTGAAAGGGAAAAGCCATGGTTTCCCATGTTTTTCTTCTTTAAAGCAAAATCCATTTTTAAAGTTTCTGTGTAACCCTTTTATATATTCTTGAGAACTGCTTTTGGGTCACAACCCACGGGTTGAGAAACACTGGACTAAATGACCTCTGAGGGTCCCTTCCAGCCCTGCTTCTCTATGACTATTTATTTCCCCTCCCCCCCCCCACCTTTTTAACATATTTTTGAGTTTTGTTTCATTTTGTTCTGATGTGTAAAAAGCGGCTGTCATTCTTTCCAAAGCAAGCACTGGGTCCTGTTCAGTTCCTCACTAGCATCCTGTTCCTATCCTCCTAACTTCCCTTCAGCGTCCAACTCAGTCAACAATTCCAGGGGGAGTATTTTACCGTATTAAGTTAGGATGCCCTGTTGTACAGACGGATGCGTCTGCACACACACTTTCAATGGGAGATCCCCCCAGACCCAATGGGGAAAACCAGTAAGGGGTTCTGTGGGACTGCAAGATAGGACTGCAAGCATCACTGCAGTCAACAGAGCCAGGTGTGAATGATGTTTTGCTCCCATGACAGAAAACAAATGACTTCAGGGAGAGAGGGAGCTTTGGGACCGGCCGCATTCAAGTGGAAGAAGCTGAAAGAAAGAAAAAAACAGGCGGATGTGCTTCCTTATTTGCATCTGCACACTTTTATCTGCTCTAGTTTGATCTGCTGCTGATCTCTTCCAGCCAGGTGATGACAGAGATCCTGGTTTTCTCTGAGGAAAAAATCCCCAATTTTTGGTTAAAAAAAAGGAACCCCAAATCCACATTTGTTCTATGATCAAAATGAAACACCACTAGATAGTCAGGTATCCAGGTTGTACACCACTAGATATGTACATTATGTATGTACACCACTATATATGTATCTATCTAGTCGTGGTGTTTCATTCTGATCATGGGAAAATGTGGCTTTGGGATTCTTTTTTTTTTTCAATCCGAAAACTGGGGATTGGAGAAAACCAGGAGCCCTGATGATGACACACATCCACCACCTGATAAACAACCTCAGTCTGCTCTGTGCCGTGGGAGGAGAAGCAGAGCAGGGCATCTCCCAGCCCGCCCCAAGGCTTTCAGGACCAGGGAGAGAAAGGAGGGGCAGGGCAAAGCCGAGGCTGCACGGAGAGAGACGCCCGGTCCCCAAAGCCGAAGCCCGCCTGGCTGCCCCGGCCAGGCTCGTGGGTGCAGCCGCTCCCGGGGGAAGAGGGGTCCGGGGCAAAGAGGGGAAGGGGGTGCCCCGGGGTGGGCTTACCTTGTACTGGCGGAAGCCGGCCAGCTGCTGGGCACTGACATACTGCACTCGCCACATCGCGCCGCGTCTGCCCGGCCCGGCTCCCCGGCGTCGCCGCCGCCCACTCGGGCCGGGCGGGGCGGTGTCAGGCTCAGACCTGCTCCCAGCTGCTCTGCTCTGCAGCGCCCAGCACGGCCGCTCCCGGGGAGCGGGGTGGGGAAAGGCGCCCGGGCCTTTGGGACAATGACGGGCTTCATTCATTTCTGTGGCATCTACGAGACCTGAGCGGAGGGGTCTTCCCGGGGGGGGCGGGCAGCTCGCTCCGGGCCGCGCACTGCCGGGGCCCAGGTGGCTGCGCTGCTCCGCATGCCTACCTTGTCCACAGGGGCGCAGGCTGGAGCCGTGCGGGGCTAAGGACACAGGCAGACAAGGGTCTTTGGGTGAATCTGATACCTTTTAGTAGACCAACTTAAACAGTTGGAAAAAATGAAATAGCTGGGAAAAAATGTAAACCCGAAACCTTGCTAAAATTTTCTCCCCCAGCTATGTAGGTTGGTCTAGTAAAAGGTATGAGATTCACCCAAAGCTATTCAAAGGTGCTTGATAACTTAAAAGGGATCCTGGCTTTCTGTGATTTTAAAAACATCCCCAATTTTTGGTTAAAAAAAAATGTTTCCATGATTAAAATCAAGCACCACTAATATCTGTATCTATATCTATCTAACTAGATAGATAGATACAGATATAGATATTGGTGGTGCTTGATTATAGATAGATAGATAGATATTATTCTATCTGTAGATAGATAGATAGATAGATAGATATTAGTGGTGTTTCATTTAAATCATGGAAAACGTGGATTTGGGGTTACTTTTTGGGATTTGGGGTTCACATGTTTCCATGATTATACTGAAACACCACTAATATATAGATATATCTATATATTAGTGGTGTTTCATTTAAATTATGGAAACATGGATTTGGGGTTACTTTTTTAACTGAAAATTGGGGATTTTTTTTTAATCAGAGAAAACCAGGATCCCTGCTGATAAGGAATTAGTAGTTACAAGGGTTTTCTCCTTCCCAGCTCCAGGCAGCTGGATTCATGAAAGCAAGAAGCAAGATTAGACTGGTAATGTATTTTATGGGAAGATCTATCAAATCCATTCTAGCTGTCTTTGAGCACAGAGCCCTCCCCCAAGTCTGGACTGGGCTTTTTCCCCCCCCCTTCATGTGATTTTTCCATTCTGAACAGTGACTTTGCATAGATTCTGTTTTTGTTGTAGGCCAAAGCAAAATACTACCAAATAATTTGTGCTTCTTGCATATTCCCTGAATCATCGCCACTGCAATGACACTCCAGCACTAACAAAAACAAAGTACTTCTTTTCTCTATTGAAAAAGGCCTGTTTTTCTCTCTGACTTTCCTGGGAGAAGCCTGTTAAAAAAAGTGTCATTGAAACATTCACAGCTCTCAAAGTGCCTGATCCTGCACCTGTTTCAGAGATAAAGGTTGTAGCTGTGTTGGTCTAAACAGCAAAAGCAGTCAGTATGGTAGAGGTGATGTCTCTTATTAGATCAACTAGACAGCTGCAAAAAAATTCTTTACTTGCAAGCTTTTGGGTTCATGTGCCCTTCCCCAGGCAAAGGAGAATGCAAAGATTGTAAAATTTCTCCCAGGTAGAAATGAAGCATCATATTGCACAAGAGAGCTGGAGGGTAGTGTAAGTTTTCCTGGCTGGAAAAGTTGATTTTATGCAAATTGGGCTCGGGTAAAAGTTGGAGCAGTTTACTTATCTCAAAGGTGTCTGATGGCAAGCAGGATGTTGAATTATGCTTCTTTCTTGTTAAGGTGTTTTATATAGCACAGGAGTACTGGTGATGGAAAGGTCCGCCTGGGCCAGGAAGTTCTGTTGTGTTCAGGCTGCTCTGTAAGTATGCAAGTGTGGCTCGAAACAAAAGGCTGAAGCGTGTTAGCTGCTAGGTCTCAGGGTGTTGACTTTTGCTGATCCTGCACATATGTTCTACTATGAACAATCTTCTTCGTAATACAATCCAATTATGATAACAGGCAGTGTAGCTAGTTGTGTTTGCAGTATCAGGCCACAAACTCATTTTTATGGTAGGGATTTTGTTCTGTAAAGTGCCACTCCCTGACATGCCCTGGCTTTATGAAGTAGACATATGACATCGTCGTTTAACATATTTTATTCCCATTCTTCATCAACATCTGATGAAGTGAATTTCAGTTCATGAAAGCTTGTGAGATATAGAAGTCTTCTTTGGTTAGTCTATAAGGCACAAATCTACCCTGCCTTCTGCATGACACATCTCATGATTAAGGAAAGCACTAGTGACGTAGCAAGCAGGGTTGTGGTGTGGTGAGTGGGGCAACCACCTGGGGCACTGAAGCAAAGGGATGCCAACAGGCACTGCCCGGTGACAGCAGAGCATGGGATGAAACCACGAGTGGCTCATTTGGGGGGCTGCGGGGACAGGGGAAGGCAGCTCCCACCACTGTGTGCACTTCTGGGCAAGCAGGGGAGAGCATGTGCTCCCCAGATCTGTGCATGGGGTGAGGGCAGGCTGCCATTGTGGGCTTTGTCCCGGACACCAAACTTCCTTGCCATGGTACTGGAAAGTACCTTCAGCTACAAGTTTCAAATCAACAGACTCTGGGCTCATCTACACAAGATACTACTGCGCAGTCATTAATGCACATTTATTTAGTACTTGTAATAGCAAGTACTAAATAAACGCACAGTTACCAGAGTTACTGCACAGTAGCATGGGCAAACATCTTTTAAGTGACACTACTTTGCAGTAGTGTATTAGCACTATTCTTGCTGTGACACCCTACTGTGCAGTATTTTCTGGCTACTGCGCAGTTAGTGTCTTGTATAGATGCACTGTCTGTAAATACACTCTGAACCTTCTTATTTTTACAATATAGGACAAAGAAGGGAGTGTATGTGGACTTCTTGGGAATTAAAAGTTATATATCTCCAGACATTCAGACACTTCTGTGAGCATGGCAGACACTCGAGACATATCTGCATACTTCTATGAGCATCAAAATGCCATGATATGGCTGCTTGCTGGGGAACTCCCCAGCAAGTGTCCATATCATGGCATTTCATTGCAAATTGCATTTTTCATGAAAATCATTTTCATGAAAAATGTGAAATCCAGATTTAAACCAGGTCCTACTTATTGGGTTGAGCCTGCCTCTGGTTGTTGATACTGATACAGCAGCAGGTTTGTTTAACAGATGCTGTGGGGTTTGAATACATTATGCCATGCACCCAAGTCCACAAGCACTCTGCAGACTGGAAATGAATGCTTGAATTGCTCTGGACTCATCTCTCTGCATCTACTCCCAAGCCCTCAGTTTCTGAGAGTAGGCACTGTGGGTATTTAAGTCCTGTTTAAACTCCTAGTTTGCCAATCTGGATCTCCTTGTTATATATTTTGCCTCCTCTGAACCCATTGATTGCCTAATGCAGAATCAGAACTTTCATTGCATCAGAAAAAACTGCTGCTATAATAATCAGGTAATATGGTTGTGTTGGCAGGAGATAATCACTATCGGCAAGCAAAGTGTTCAAAAGTGACTTTGGTAAGTTGTGTTTAAGACTGGAACTTCATTTCTAAACAGATATGATCCCCTTTGCTATGGACACCTGGCAGATGTTAAAGAACAGTTTCCATCAGTCTTTTTAACACAATATTCCCTCTCTGCTTGAACACTGTTATTACCTTAAATGGTGCTCAAGAACAGTATTTGAAAAGTGTGATAATATCAAAAGGACCTAAATGATTATGCCAAAGTAATATTAAATGTCTAGTTGAAACTTACTAAAGAAAGGCATTAAAATTTAAGACTGATACCCTTAAAGTGCACTTTTGTGCATAAATATTGCTGTAATTTCTACATGTTGCATGAACTAAATTATTAAAGCAGAGATTCTAGGCTTGTGTAAATTGCTGTAACCCAATTGGAAAAATAGAATAACTGAATCATAGAAAATTGGGATTAGAAGAGACCTCAGGAAGTCATCTAGTCCACCCCCCTGCTCAAAGCAGGACCATTCCCAACTAGATCATCCCAGCTAAGGCTTTGTCTAGATGGGTCTTAAAAACCTCCAAGGATGGAGATTCCACAATCTATTTGGGTAGACTGTTCTAGTGTTTTACTAACCTCCTAGTTTTTCCTGATATCTAGCTTACTTTTCCCTTGCTGAGACTTGAGACCATTGCACCTTGTTCTGTTTTCTGCCACCACTGAGAACAGTTTAGCTCAATCCTCTTTGGAATCTCCCATCAGGTAGTTGAAGGCTGCTATTAAATCCCCTCCCCCACTCAGTATGGAGGTAGACCAGTTTTGCTTTTGGAGGTTCTGACTCTGTATGTTATCCATTAGTAGACAAAGTGAAGTATTTTTTAGATTAAGTTTTAGCTTAAACTTAAAACCTCTTTATTTTTGTAAAATGTATCTTGTTGAACTCCACAAGACTAGTTGTTTGTATAACTTAGGCAAAAACTGGTCCCAAATGTTACCTTATCTATAATAACCTATAAAGGTAGTATTTTGTTTCTTTTTAGTGCTGATAGAAAGAAAAAAGAAATTATATGAAAGTGTCAGCCACCACAAAACAGTGTGTAGAGCTTGATGAAATTGTAGTGATTTTTAGATTATGCTAGGGCAGTAGCATTGAGAAGTGCTCTATTTTGTAGAAAACTCCCCTCTGCTGGCCAAACACAGAGCAGTACTTACATTAACAGTTGCACTATGACTTTACTAGAGCAAAATGAATATATGAAGACATGCAATTTACCTGTAGCCATATTCAAATAGTACTTATGATTTAAAAACAAGCAGAAGTTAAATAGTATTAAAATATTACCTTTCAGCACATATATGAAGATTAGTACATTTTGCCTTCCTAAAACCTGACACACTTCTTGTTATATCTGCCATCTCCATAACTGAGGGGTGGGCAAAATGCAGCCCGGGGGCCGGATATGGCCCGCCAGGTCATTCTACCCAGCCTGCAGGGCCCCTAAAAAATTTAGAAAATTAATATTAATCTGCCCTAGGCTGCCTGTCATGTGGCCCTTGCTGGCTTGCTGAACCTCAGTAAGTGGCCCTGTGCCCAAAATAAAAGCCCACCCCTGCCATAACTTTCCCCATCTCTGCAGAGACAACTAACATAAGTTCACGTAGTCCTCTTTAATGTATTGTGGGGCTGGCATGACACATGTATTAAACTGTCTTACTTTTCAACATTTTAAAATCTAACCTTCCACGTTGCTCACTCAGAAACCTTGAAAAGTTGATAATCTCTAGAATATCACAATGACTGCAGAATTGAATGTTTGTGTGCATCTAGACTGAGTGAATTATCTGCCTCAGCGTCATCTGCAGCGTGAAATATGCCTAAACATCAAAATGTCACTGAAGGACAAATTCTGAATTTTCTTCAACTGAAGTTGGTGGGAGGTTGGAAATTCACCCTCTCCCCAAAAAAATCTGTTTCCAAAGGACTTGAAATATGTTATGGTACTTTATATGAAAGATATACTATTAATTTTGTGTTGTAAAATTATCCACAATTACCAACTTAAATGTAAATTATTTATATTTAACTAATTTAGGAAAGGTTTAGGAAATGCCAATAGCTAATTCTTATATCTTGGAAACATTTAGAAGCTGTGTTGAAAAAAATTATGCCTAATACCTAAAAATCAATGCCTAAATAAACAAATCTTTTCAGATTTCATAAATTCACAGTTTTGAAAACTTAAACTTCCTTCTCTTCTAATTAACTTGTATCAAAATGGGAACCTTTCCATTTACAGATTGAAAAGCATTGCTATTTTAGGAGTATCATAGAAAATTAAATGCAATGTTCTTTAAATGCCCCTAAGGTTTTTTTAATAGGAGTTAAAATATTTTGTTTCCCTTCTAAGGATAATACAGTTGAAATATATATATATATATATATATAATTCACTATGCAGTTTCATTTTTTTCTATTCTGTCTAATAGTCTAGTGCAGCATTTCTCAAGCTGTGGTTTATGACTCATGACCCAAAAGTGGGTTGCAAGAATATATGAAAGGGCTGCAAGCAAACTTTAAAAATAGATTCTCCTTTAAATGAGAAAACTGTGGGAAACTATGGCTTTTCCAGTGCAGGCTGGCAGAATGAGGAGCACTGGGTCAGGGCTGGCCATCAGTGTTTACAAACATTGGGTTGGGTTCCTGGTACAGAAAAAATTAAGAACTACTGATTTAGTATATTCTGTCCCTGTGGATCAGTTGGCTACTTATATTTATTTTTTAGAAACAATTTACTAAGTAAAACCAAGAAAAGTTATTGGCTCGTGTCATCTTGTCTCACAGGAAAACTCAAAGGATTCTAGGGGAAGATGTGGCTCCCCTGAGACCTTTGTTGGGAGATGATTTGTAAAAAGGCAGTCCAGACTCAGATACTTTTGGGGAATCTCTACAGAGAGAGAGACACTGCGCTGTAACACTTGCGCTCATTCTCGGGCCCTGCTTTCTTCCTCTAGTCAGCATGGCTTCCAGATCCACACAGGACCTCTTTGCCACTTGGAAGTCTCCTTACAGAAGGATGGCCTTGGCTGTGATTTGAAACAGAAACATTTTTTCTCTGATGGAGTTCTGGCTGTTGTAGGGTACAGCTTCAAATACTGTGTTTTGTCATGTACCAAAGCGGCTCACTGCAATGACAGGCAAAGAAGCATTTTCCCTTCCAACTATTTTAGTTGGTCGAACAAAAAAGACGTCGCATTGACAAGAACCTTGCTTGCTTTTGATGGCAGGCAATCAGGACTCGTGGCAGAGATGATCTTTTATTAAACCAACCAGATTTTTGCAAAACCTGGATTTGATGATCGGACACACTTATTAATTGGAAAACCAGAAAGGCCAGTGACTGCACAACCATGAGAGCACACTTCGGGACAAGTCAGTCAGCAACAGGCAAGACGTGCTTTGTAAGATCATCGATCTTGCCTTCCTGCCCGCTATCGCTACAGCATCTATTCAAACTGGCATTAGTGCCAGAGTGATGAATTACTGAAGAGTCCGCCCATCGCTCCTCCCCCTAAGGCTAGATTGGGGGCAGCCTCTGGCGCATGCGCACAAGGTGGTAGGGAAGTACCGCTCGTTCTTTCTCCGCCCCCGCCACGGGGCCAGAAGCTGGGAAGGGAAACGCCTCCTCTCTGTGACGTCACGCCCGTTCCGGCTCGCCTGCCCAGTCAGCAGTCGCGCTTGCCGCGGCGCCAAGCTGGAATGGAGTGGGCGTGGCGAGGCGCGCGGGGAAGGGCGCGGGCTCCGCCTCCGCCTCCGGCCGGGGTGGGAGAACGGGTTGATTGGGGGCTCCCCGCTCCCCCCCTCCGACCGGACTCGCGTGCCACGTGACGCAGCTGGCGGGTGCCCTCGGAGGGGGAGATGCCCCGCAGGAAGGTACGACTGCGCGCGGGGCAGGGGAAGGAGCCCCGGGGGTGCATATGCGTTGGCTCGTGAGCTGGCGGGGCGAGCTCTGCAGGTAGAGCTGAGCGGGCTGCTGACGTGGGAGACCCTCCGTGACGCCACTCGGGAGAGCCTGCCCTGCCCCGCTCCCCTCCCAGCCTCAGCCCCAGGGAGCCCGCCCCGAGTTGTGCCTCCCTTCCCCCTTCTGTGTCCACCCGAGCCCTTGATGATGTAATAATGAGCCCAGTGACGCAAGCAACCGGTTGTCGGGGCTCTGGTTCCTTTTTTTAGAGGAGGCGAGGTCCAGCTCTGGGGTCTTGGCTGGAAAGCAGAGTTCAGTGGATGGCGGTGGTGCGGGTGCTCACATTTAGGCCCCGCTACACGTTACATAGATCGTGCTATCGACTGTGGTTCAGCGCGCAATATGTGGAGACTGTCCCCTGGTGTGAAGTCATCCTCGCACTGTAAAAATAGACCCTGGCTGTAAAAAGGGCCGACATTGCTGCTGCAAAGTGTGCGACCGGTCTGGAGCTGGTTTCAACCCTGCTTTTGTTCGAATGTGAGGCAGGGCCCTGGTGTGGGGAGTTTTGTCCTCCAATGGTCATCCTTCCTCTTCACCTCCTTCAGAGAGCTGTCGTGCTTCTGGGGGTAGGCCCGGATCTGTCCAAATGTGTAGTGGCTGTGTCTGTATTAAGGACCAGTTAATTACTGTTTGCCCTAATCCAAGGCAATTTTGCATGTAAGGCAGCCTGCCCCAATAATTGGATTCTATACATGGACATTTATAAGTGTTTTAATTTTCCATATACAGAATCTAGTTGAAGGGCTGTTTCAGATTGGATGATCATGACTTCCCCCCTTTCTCCCCCTCATGTGATGGGGGAAGCAGCAGTGGGGAGTGAAGGGCCAGACCAATGTTTCTTACCCCCTGCCCTTGTCCTTCCATGCCTGTGCCTGACCCTCTGCCCCCCTTGTGTCTGACTCCTTGCTGCCTAACCCCCTCCCACATGCCCCTTCCTTGCCCCACCCCCATCACCCCTTGCCTGCCTGTGCCTGCCCTACCCAGTGCCTGGCCCTCCATCCCACCCCACTGCACACCCCACTCCCCCCTGCTGCTTGCTTTCCACAGCAATACTGATTCTGGCTCTGGGGCAGTCAGTGGTAGTAGACCTGGTCCCAGCCCAACCTAGCCAGGCAGTGGCAGCTCCAGGCCTGACTGGGTCAGGGTTGCAGCTGGAACTGAGGGACAGGGTGGGGGAACAGGCTGCCATCTCCCCTGTGCTCCGTGCAAGCTACACACCACAGATCTCCCATTCACTCACTGCACGGTCTCCTCTGTTTGAACCCCACCATGCAATCTCCCTTGTGCTCCCCCACAGTGATCTTCCCTGCTGCAAGCCCTCTTCCCCACCATATGAGACACCCTGCCTGCTGCAGGCAGTGGCTTAGCTCCAGCTTCAGGTCTGTGCCAAAGCCAGAGCTCCAGGCTGGTACTCAAGTCTAAAGTGAGTGTGCTGATTTGGGGGGAGGGGATATTGTCTTGGTTGTGAGTAAATATGGTATTTTGTATGTGTTCTGCAAAGATTATTTAATCCTTGTAGCCTTTTTTTATTCTTTTCTATCATGTCTTTAAAAGATTGCATTGTCAGCTAAAATCCTGATGCTTAAATAACACTAAAGATCTGTTTTTTTGTCTATGATAATTAGGCATAGTTCTGCACAGATTTAACCATGAATCTCACTGACTTAAGTGAAGCTCCTCAGACAATGAAATCAAGCACGTGCATAACTTTTTACAGGATCCAAGGCATCTTAACTTTGGAGAAATTGTTTTTCAACTCCATTTAGATTAAAAGCAAGAGGGGCTAGCATTTGGCTGTATTTCGGAAGAATGGCCCCTGGAGCTTATTTCAGTAAGGAAAACTGAGGCAGTAAAGACACTGGGGGATCTCAGAGGTGAATGAGAAAATTACTAGTTTACCAAACTTCTGATAATTCTAACTGTGCTATGCCTGTGGGTAGTAACCTGTGTGTAAAAGGTGGTGAAGATATTAGGGCTGTGCAAAGCTTTGGTCTGTGATTCGATTCGGCAGAGATTTGGTCTGATTCAGTGGCTGAATCTACAAATCCGAATCGAATCAGGAGACCCTTTAATTTCTCCAAATCAAATTGGAACCCTCTGAATTGATTCAGAAAGATTTGATGATTCAGACAGAGACAGCTTTAAATGTTTTTTTGACATGCCTCAAGGTACCACACGGCTTGTGAATACTGAGATGGTGGGGCAGATGGAGTGTCCCACAAGTGCGTGGGAGGGTCCCCAGCGCATTCAGCAGCAAACCCAAAAGAACTTCCAGGTCCTCTGAGTGGCTTCCCCACACCCCCTGACTCGGTGACTGGTGCCTCCTGGGTCTGGGAGCATGGGCTCCCAGTGTGCTCAGCGACAGACCCGGTAGTGAACCGGAAGAACTTCCAGTCCACTTCCGGGTTCGCTGCCAAGCACGCGGTGGCGTGCTGCCCCCCCCATGCTTCTGTGGGGCGCTCTATCCGCCCCACTATCACAGCGTTCACGAGTCATGCCTGGTACCTCAAGGTATGTAGAAAAAACATTTAAAGCTGTGTCTATGGCTGAATTGCTGATTCTTCAAATCAGCATTGAATCTTCAGATTTGGATTCGACTGAATTGAACCAGGACAGTGATCCGATTAATTGAATCACTGTCCGCGATTAGCGCTAAATCTGAATCCGAATTGAATATGGCCCATTTTGTACACCCCTAGAAGATATTGCCTCAAAAGCAGGAATTTCAATGATTCAATTCTGTCTGCTTTGTGAGGGCCAAGGAATGCATGGAAAACTAAGAAGGATTTTGTCAGAACTGAGTTACTGTAAGGCTTAATTATTCCTGTTCTACTTTTCTCTTGAGTAATATGGTTTATGGTTCATCAGGTGTGAAGGGACACAACAATTGGAGCTGAGGAAATGTGAGTGCAGAAAATATAAGGAAAATCGTAGTAAGATGGATTTAACTGCAAAGGTAAAAGCTATTCTTTAAAACACTCGCAAGTATAGCATGTGATGGAAGGACTTGGTATGATAATACTGGTGCTTACTGATGATTCTGAGTTGTGCTTCCTGTTTTGAAATTGTAGTCAAGCCAGTTCCTTTACTTGGTGAGTTCACACGTTAAGTCAGATGGGATATGTACCTCTTCATTTGGTTGCTCATTAGGCGAGAGCATGATAGAGACATAGCTGATGCGGAAATGATATGGAAAACTAGGCAAAAGGAAAAGGGTTCTGGAGTAAAGATAAATTAAAAGGTGGTTGGCGCACAAGAGGAGGGAAGCTGCTTTTAGGGGCACAGACAGAAGTTACGTTTGTTGCATGATCAGCTCCCTGAAAGCACTCTACAGCCGTGCCGTCACACACATGCATGGCAGCAGTGTACCTTTGAAGTGGCTGATCACATGACAAATTAACCTTTGTCAAATGAGAGGTCAGATGAAAGAACTTCATGTTGCAGAGACTTAGGGAACTTGTGTTCCCTAGGATTAATTTGTGGTGTGATTGGGGCTGGGCTGATGCAGCCCTGGGACTGTCTGCAGGAAGGGCAGGTGGAGCCTTTTCTGGGGTTTGCTGCTTGAACTGCCGGCCAGGGTTAGCCTCCTGAGTTGGTAGGGGGTGGGTAGATTGGAGGCCCCTGTCTCGTGGGCCCCTCTCTCAGCCCTGGCCCCTCCAGCTGACACATGGCTCCCAATCTGTGCAGGGGGCAAGGGCAGCTGCACTGGCGTTCTGGGATCTGCCTCTCCCTGCCTGCGTGCCTTGCTGCTTCTGCTTTGACAGTGGCATGGCTCCATGTGCCTTGCTGCCTGGCCCACCCAGTGAGGATGCACTTAGCGCCATACCTCTGTCAAAGGTGGGGGCAGGGCATGCAGGCAGGGAGCAGGCAAAGCTCAGCCCCAGCTGCAGCCCCCCTTGCCCTGTGCCCGCCCCCCACCCTTGGCTACCTGGCACCACACCTCTGGACTCTTCCCAGGGATGACCCAGGGCAGGGCAGGGCAGGGGTCCCGGGGCTCTGTCCCTTCCAGTGCAGCTGAGGCTGGCCCCGCTCTGGCCCCTGTCTCTCGGGCGGTGCGGGAGACATCCAGGGCTGGTGTGGGGCTGGGGATCAGTGGTTTTGCAGGGGCCTTCAGTGCTGGGCAGTGGCCCTGGGTGCAGGAGAAGGGGTGGCCACATGGGTGCAGTGGGCCCCGATACTGGCTCTGCTTTGCTACGCTCCCTCCTGATCCCTGCCTGCTCCCAGCTGCATTCCCCCCCTCCGCCCTGCAGACTTTCCTGCTGGGTGGGGGCTGTGCATGCTTAGACTCCCCAAATTTTTTTCCTCCCTCTGCCTATGGCCCCTGCCCCCCTCCTCCTTCTTACTGGTCCCGCTCCAACCCTCTCCCTGCTGTTCCACGTCTACCTGGCCCTTGTCCGCCTGCCTCCCCTCCTGTGCCCTCCTCTCCCTCCCTGCCAACTGTTCTGGGGGGCAGTCCTGCTGCTCGGGTGGCTGGGGGGTGTTCCCCACCGCCAAACTTCCCCAGCAGCAGTTCAGCAGGCCCTATGCAGCCTGGGCCGCTCATCCAATTGGCACCCGCCCTCTCGGCAGCGCGTGCGCAGTTGGCCTGGAGCGTTATGGGCAGACAGACAGACTGTGGCTTTTATTATATTAGAATTTACCCATCTGTAAACATTTGGCAGCTACAAAGTTGGTACTGTTTTTAGTATAATAAGCCTCCTTATAGATTGCAGGTGAAGAGAAAAGACAGTTTTAATTAAAGCTTAGGCTAAATCTCTAGTAAGTATGAAAATTGAGCTAGAAATCCCACATACAAAATTGGAACTGTTGCAAACTGAAAAAAGATTAATGTAATTCTGTCATCTGATAATGATCTCAGCTCTGTTTGTGGAGAGTTCAGTTTACATTTCTCCTGCTACTTTGCATTTCCAAT